CTGGGTACAGTCAGAAGCGTGGGAAGGTAAGAGAATTCACCAAAGCAGAACAGGGAACAGAACAGGCAGACTGAGGAACTACACTGCTGAGGGGAGCAGCGGGCGGCAGGAGAGGTCTGAGTGCCATATGGGACCCTCGCCCGGTGGCCAGGGATCGAACCGGTGCTGCAGAGGCTGCGGGCAGCTTCACAACCCAGTGCTCAACCGCTGCGCCACGGGGGGAGGCCCCTTAGTGCTTTTTTTAATAGATAGAGAAACAAAGACCAACTATGGAGGCAATTTATCCCCCCCATCATAGAAATAGTGTCAGAAATGGAATTCATGGTCAGAAGAATTCATGGCTTACAACTTTAAAGATAAAGCTTTTCCTTTTCCACCACTCTGTAGTCAGCTTAGACGCTCCCTTTCCAGGTTTTTATGGACAGAACTTGAGAATGAAAGAAGGAGGAGCTACTTTTTTTTTTTTTTTTACATTTTCAAAATGCCCCTAGTGCAGAGGTAAAACATAGACCCTTTTATACTTGCTATTGAAAACTTGAGAATTATAACATTAAGAACACTTGCTATATCTGCTCATTTTCAAAGATGCTCTCACCCAAGAAACTTGATCAGAATTCCAGGCGTAGGGAGGCATATACTAAATCATGAAAGCTACTTTGCCTCATCACTGTAGTTAATCGAACAGCTACCATCAAATGAAAGGAAGTTAAATGCTTGTTCTTTTATTCTAATCTCTTAATTATTTGGAGAGGATGGGTAAAATGAACGTGGTGCTCTCATTTTTTACATGATAAATATATGGCTCCTCCCCATTTCTTGGTGATCATTGTATCAATGTAATGTGATCAGATGTGCCACATGCCATGACTGAATGAAGCAGAAAGTCTCTTATTCTTTCCTTCTGTCATGGGAACTAGTCTGTTTAGATTCATGGTTGCACTTTAAGAATGAAGATGTGCAGAACAGACCCAAACCCAGCTGCCAGGTTGAGACTGAGATTCAGAGGTGACCTGCCGATGCGTGATGGAGGGGACACTCATTTGTGGTGGAGAGTTACCAAGATTTGGAACTGCTTGCTCTGCAAGACAAGTTATTGAACATTGACTATTAAAACATTCTTTGAATTCTCAGAAAATGAACCACCATATTTGAAATGAAATTAGTTGGGAGAAAATGGACTTGACGAAGTAAAAGGAGCAATAGAAGACATGGAGTTTGTCCCCCTTTGAGCAAATCAGTGTCTTGCTTTGTTGTCTCTGATCTTGCTCCCTCTTATCCACTCAATCTCCACCTAATTCAGACTTCTCGACACGAGTCAAATCTTGTAGATCTGATTCCATCACTGTTGGTAAGACCAGCACAAAGGAACTCCAGCCACCATCTCAGCCATTTTTATTTTACGTTTTATGTATCTGTTCTACCGAATTACTTGTCTTGCTGCTTTGAAATTGCCGTTCTATTTTCTGTTTCATATACTTCACACAATCCTTTCTTTTGTCTGACATGTGTTCCTTCTCCTAAAAAACACCACACCCCCAGTTTTCACAAATGAGGCCCTCCTCAGACTTAATCCACTTCAAGGGCTGGTCACTCTCTGTCTATCATTTATCACAGTGACATCTTCAGGACAGAGTTATTATCTGACCACTTATATCATTCTCAATAATTAACACAAGGTGCAGCATTTAATATGCACATGATGATACATGCTGAAGTGAGCTGAGCTGCTAGGTCACTTCAAAGATTAAATAAAAAGATCTATAAGAAGTATTCAGACTAAAATCCTCCCTGTTCTGAATGTCTTTTTTTTTTAATCATTGTATTTTGATGAATTAATTTGGAGACAGGTTTTTTTAATAAAGGAAGAGGATGTTGGAATAACTCTTAAGCCTAGAAAACCCTTTTCCCTAATCACACCACTAGCATAGTTTCAATATATATAGTAGATATCAGAAGCTGTTGGGTCCACTCCAAATGTTTTTTTAAATGACTTTAGGTCAGGATTACAGGAGGCAGAGGCAGCTATAATACAGAAGGAAAAAAAAAAAAACAGATAAGAAGGAAGAGTAGAAGAAAAAAAATATTCTGATTTAAAATATTTTATTTTATTTTTTTTTTTTTTTTTAATTTTTTTTTTTTTATAGAGGCATGTTTATTTATTTATTTATTTGTTTGTTTGTTTGTTCTGTTTACACATGCACTGGGTACAGTCAGAAGCGCGGGAGGGTGAGAGAATTCACCAGAGCCAGAGCAGGGAGCAGAGCAGGCAGAAGGACCGAAGTACACTGCTGAGGGGAGCAGCGGGCGGCAGGAGAGGTCTGCGCGCCATGTGGGACCCTCCTCCGGTGGCCGGGGAGCAGCCGGGGATCGAACCGGCACTGCAGAGGCTGAGGGCAGCTTCGCAACCCAGCGCTCAACCGCTGCGCCACCGGGGAGGCCCTAAAATATTTTATTTTTTTTTATTTGAAAACCAGAATGGTAACATTTTGCTGAATCTATTTTGGAGGGTTGAGAGGACGAGTCTATTAGAAATTGTGATGTAAGTGGTCATAGTTCTCATTAGAATGAAGGGATACCTTCTTATTTTTTATGTATTCCCCAAGCAGACAGGAAAAGATAAAGAACACAAGAAAATGACACAAAAGAAACATACTCAAGAGCAAGAGAAGATGATGCCTGGGTTAATTTTCCCCACATTACATTTCCTCCTTATGACCAACAATTATGGAAAAATCATAAGGGAAAAATAAAGTTATATTTTTCAAAAACAGAGAGGTGGAGAGAATAAAGAAATTCCTGAAATATGGGGGGGGTGGAGACAAGAACTGTATCTTTCACACTATATGGAGTTTTATTTTTTACATTTATTTTTATTTATTTATGCATGCAAGACCTGAGGTATAGACCAGAGGTTCAGGGGGTGAGAGGAATCACCAGAGACAGTGGGGATCAGAACAGGCAGATCCTATTGAAATACACTGCTGAGGGGAGCAGCGGCAAGACAGGAGAGGTCTGCTGCACCATGTGGGTTAGCTTCCTAGCTGGGGATTGAACTCAGGCTGCAGTGGTTGTCAAAAGCTTGATGGTGCTGAGACTTAACTCCTTGCATCACCAGGGAGGCCCCATCATATGGAGTTTTGTCATGAAGGGTCTTTCAATTGGATCTATAAATTTTTTTTTTTTTTTTTAAGATTTTATTTCTTTATACAAGCACTGGGTACAGTCAGAAGCGCGGGAGGGTGAGAGAATTCACCAGAGCCAGAGCGGGGAGCAGAGCAGGCAGAAGGACCGAAGTACACTGCTGAGGGGAGCAGCGGGCGGCAGGAGAGGTCTGCGCGCCATGTGGGACCCTCCTCCGGTGGCCGGGGAGCAGCCGGGGATCGAACCGGTGCTGCAGAAGCCGCGGGCAGCTTCACAGCCCAGCGCTCAACCTCTGCGCCACCGGGGAGGCCCGGATCTATAAATTCTTTTTGTAAGAACTTAGATTGAACTTAGACTGAACTTAGACTATGCCACAACATGCCTTGTTATAGACTTTAAAAAATAGGGCTTCCCTGGTGGCAAAAGGGGTTAAGACACAACCTATGAAGTTATCTGCGACCTCTGCAGCATGAGTTCGATCCCCTGGCCTGCCAGGGAGCAACCCACATGGCAAGCAGACCTCTCCTGTCTCTTCCGCTGCAGTGTACTTCTGTCAATCTGCCTATTCTGTTTCCCACTCTGTCTCTGGTGAATCCTCTCACCCCCAACACCTCTAGCCTGTACCCCAGCTCTTATATGCATAAATAAATAAATGTTAAAAAACATACTTCCTCTCCACTTGCTCTTATGTGTCCTCATAGAAAAAAATGTGCTTATTTTCAACTCAACAAAAGCATATGAAAAGGAAGACCTATTTGACTGCCAGAGAGAGATGAGATGCTGACTAAAACCATAGATTATTCATGTTCCGTGTGGAAGAAAAGATTGCCTGATTATGCAAAATGACTTCTACCTTGCTATACAACCAGCAAATTGTTCCTCAAGGGTCTCTTTGATTCCCTCCTACCTGTGTCCTTAATATATAAAGTATCCCTTTATTCTGACAAATGTTATACAATTTACTGGCCTTAAAGAAGACCAGACTGGTAGTCAATTGATAAATATTGTAGAGAAGAAAGCGTACTTGTATAAATAATTAAATCCTCTTCCACCTCCATCTTCTCAAGCATCTTCTCAAGCACAAAATTAGAGACTGATACAAGTTTTAAACTGGATTGAATGATCTTGATATTGGTGAACCAAATAGTAGAATGATTGAGTTGGGTGCATTTCCCTAACTCTTCCTTCCAGTCACATGGCTATCATAGATAGAATGAAGAGATTCCCAACCCACTTAAAGTTTCAAGGGAATTTGGAGATTTTCCTAATATATAAGCCAAATTCTTGTATCCCACCCCTCAAAAAAGCTTGTCTTCACTCAGTGAAGGAAATTGGTAATATTTTATACTTAACCTGCTTCAAGGGACATATGCTTTTATGAAAGTGCTGTAATCACATGAGCAATAAATATTTGGGACTGTGAAATGTGATATAAAGGCTGTGCAATGAAGGAAAAGTCAAGAATTGAAATGTTCCCAGGAATCATAACTGAGCTAAAAGATCATAGATTAGTCACCAGAAATAACTGTGTCAGTCTCTTGTGGCAGACACAAAATGATAGGGGACACTGTGCCATCCAGGATCTTTCCATTATATTCCATAAATTTGCATTAGAGGTTCAGAGAAGCATAAATAATGCATGGTAAGTTCTTTTGAATTTCTGGCTAGGATGAGTATATGCAAGGAAGCTGCCTGTAAGATCAGATTTGCACAGGCCTGGGTAATGGTCTGGTTGGTCCCATTTTGCAAAGGTTAATGGAGAAGCAGAAAAGTGAGTTTGTTTTAAATTTTAAGCTGGTTTCCAATATAAAGCTCTGCAGTACTAGCATAGTTCTTCTACCATTTCCATCTCTCCACAGAAACAAGTCACAGAGCATTTTGACTTACCCATAGTTAAGGCAGTGAACCTCACTAATGCAGTGAACCTTCCGATTCTTCATCAGCTCCTCAGGTAATGACACTAGCGAGAAGGAGGTTTGGCTTCACGAGAAAGGGCACACCACAGGCAAAGGTAAGTGAGAGACAATCATTACCAATTACGTGGGACTTACTCTGTGCCAAGACCCATGCTAAGAACTTGGTACATTGTCTCATAATTATTTCATGTATGCCCTGCAACACAGAAGCACAGAGTGTTTCTGACTAATAGACAATGTCTCAGAAGGGTTAAGGGACTCCAGACCCTCTAGGGAAATTGTCTGACATCAATTGTCTGGAAATTGTCTGACATCAGTTTCCTTTCTGCTCACCACTGCATTACATGACTTAGGTATAGACTCTGTCGATGCTGTGGTCAGGCTGAGAGAAGCTCTGCTGAACCAGAAAGACTGAGTGAGGCTCTTGGTGGCATTCAGCAGTGGGGGCTGCTTGAAATGGTATAAGGAAATGGAATGGGGTTGACAGGAGGGGAATTGTTCAAGGACATGGCCCAGGGACATAGAAAGATGGTATCTAGAATACTTTGGGCCAGCGAAGGTCACAGTGGCTCTCTTGATTGACTGTCGACTTGGGTTGACTGGAGAAGGATGCACTGGGGATATTTGCTCTTACCTATGACTCAAACTTGTATTGTTGTCTTTAGAAATGGAAATCCCCCCAAATTTATTTGAATATCCACCCTCTCCAGTCTTTCTCTCCTTCCTTGTCCATTTTTTCCAGTGTAGAATGTATTCACCCTCAGTCACTTGGAGGATGAGAGGAGAAAGAAATCAGACTTTATTTGTCTTTTCATTTGCTTCTCTACCTTATTACCTGCCTCTGGAAGTAACTGTTTCTCTACAGCTACAATCACCACTGCTGGTTCTTTCTCAAAGGGCTACTTTTCACTAGGCTTCCAATGCATGGTTTTCTTCCCTAACACTTAAGCCCTAGTTGACAGAGGAGTGTCATCTGTTACTCATGTCAGGGGGCATCTCCATCCTTTGTTTCCTGAAGCCTGACCTCACCTCTCTAAATAGTCTGGTGTTCAAATCTATTTGGCTTAGATTCTGTGTTCTTCCAGGGCTGGGGAAATATTAGTAATACCAATGAGCTTTCTATGGAGGAAACACCAACTTGCAGGGAAGCACACTTCTCTCTACTCATTTAGTCTTAAGTTATAGAGTTTTGGGCCCCAGAGAGGTACGACTGATGGGATCCAAGGCATCAAGAATGGGGCAGAACCACAAGGCATCAAGAGTGGGGCAGAACCACAGTTGGAGGGTTCATTGTTATTAGCACACCCGCTGGCCCACGGACCTAAGAATCTGTTATCTAATGTCTATTTCTATTTCTTAAGTGATCCTTCTATTCACATGAGAGAAAGAGGAACAGTTCATCGAGTCACTCAAACCCAGTGGTTTTCGTGTCTTCTGCCTATTACTTGGTGTCCTTGGAGGTCATGTGCAAATTAGCGTCATGCACCCGGAGGGGAAGAAGGGGCAGTGTGCACTTTTTGTTTGCTGCTGCGGAATCCTCTTGGTGATATTAAGCCAGCAGAGAGTCCCAAAAACCAGAATGAGAGAACAATTCGGATGAGATAAGAATTAGACCCTCTTGCATGCTTTCCTTGAAACCTAAGAGGAAATCTGGAGTCCGATATTACTGTGCTTTTACTAGATATCCTTTACAAAATGGTGAAATCCTGCTAGACTAAAGATAACATGAGCTTTTATTATGCTCCTTATATTTTACAGGTTGTATCAATGAGGGGCACTTGGGTAGGAGAAGGAGCGGGTGAGAGATGGGAGTTGAGCTGGGAGTTGAGTTGGATCTACACTGGATGAAATAATATCTGGCAGAAGGCACCTGTTCTTCCACAGTCCTCCATGTAGTGATTGGGACAGAGAAGTGCCTCTATCATTCCTGAGCAGTCCGATTAGCATGAGGGCAGCAACATGTTAGGGTCAGGTAGGATACCCCCTGCTTGGGCTGGGTAGGCTGCTGCTCAGTCTAAAAATGAAGACACTGAAGCTGAGAAATCTCGTTTGACTTGTGTTTGCTGGGCGTTGAGAGACAAGCTTTCGCCAAAGCATAACCTTTAATTTACAAATGGCCAAGATGATAATGGGATATATAAGGAGGGAAAGAAGAAGCATTTTGTTTCTTTCTCTGTGTTTAGAGGTTTGGACTGCTGTGTAAAATCAGAATAGAGGATCATGATGTGCTAACCTACCCTAATCATGAATACAACCCAATCTTACATATGAATGAAATCCTTTGCAATGTTTTGAATCTACACTACTATATCAATGCTATGGAGTCCCTGTGGATTACTGACAACCAAATGGCTTCCCCAGAATAAATTTATGTCTATGTCACAGAAGTAAATCCAGAGATATTATTGGAGGAATATGCCATGCCAGCTGCATAAGTGCCTAATGCAAAGGCTTGTAGACTTGGCTGAATTTCCAGGGTGCATTTTAAACACTTAATGCAAATGCTTCATTTTCAGTAGGTGTTTAATTCAACAGGAGCATTAATAAAATCAATTCTTCCTTGTGATGGAGACTTAAATAAAACAAGGTCACTAATTACTTGTATTGAACTCTATTGTCTGACATAGCCAAGCCCTGGGTGCAAAAGAAGAGTTATTTTTAGGAGAATTTCAAACAAGAAAGGAAAGAAGAAATGTGGGACAGATTGAGTGCATGAGTCAAGTGGATCCCCTTTTAACTCCCCTAACCAAGTAGAGAACCAGCCTGGGAAGAATAATAAGCATTGATTAGATAATAGAAGAAAGGCTAATTCCATCTCCAAAGATAAATAATTGCTTTTTTGTTTTCCATTGCTTGAGGGGAGCCTAAAATCAAGAGCAATTTATAATCTTACTTTCAATTACCTTTTCCCCCCAACATTTTATGAGCATTATGTCTGTGCTTTCAATCAGGCATGTTTGAGCAATAGTGAATTTGTCTGCAACTTAGCAAATTATTAATTGAGGACTCAGATGTGTTTTACAGAGCAACAGAAACTAAAATCAATGGGTATCTAACCTGAGGGTTAGGTCCAAGCAGTGCCAGAATGAGCCAAATCTATTCCCAGGTTGTGCTAACAAGACCTTAAGTGGTTGTTTGAAAATAGAGCTATGGCAGGGTCACATCAAATAGACCCTTCTAAGCACGTTTTTCTCCATTTTTTTTCTAACTCTGGGAAACATAACAATTTAATTCCTTTTGATGGTTCCCACTGGAACCACTAGGCTTTTCAGGGAGTTATGAAAAATGGTAAGTCATGTTCAGTTATATGCTCAAGGAGGAAAACCACAGCATTTCCTAGAGATTAGTTAAGGAGAATAGAATCTCCTAATTTTCCTACGCTCACCCCATCCTGGCCAGCCCACTTTCCAAAATTGTATTGTCTATAATAGTAGAGGTCCAGCTATCTCATTGTGTGATGCTTTGGATTTCAACAGTGGCACAAAAGCATTGTTCTAGAATTACCCTGACTTTGATTTAACCATTGTAGACTGGTTAAATCAAAGGGAGGGGAAGGAAGCTAATATTTATTGGGGAATAGTCAGGTGGTAGATGCAGATCTAGTCACTTGGTCCATGAAGCCTAACATGCTCCTTATGGACGGTGTGTGTGCTTCATAACAGACGATCCTACCTATTTTCAAAGACGATTCCACCTTAGAAGAAAAGTACCTTTACCAAGTTTTTACTACTAATAAAGAAAGAGGTGGGACTTGACACCAGATGTGTCAGGTTGGTATGTGTGCAATCCAGAGAGCATGCCAGCTTTACTAGAAACCTGTTGGTCTTTTCTCTATACCATTTATCTATTTCAGAAGGCAATTCTTAGTTTAGGTGTTAGCAGTCTTACTGAAACAATATAACTTCAGGCAAGTTGTCTAACCTTTTAGAGACTTAATTTCCACATCAGTAAAATTACAGTTTCAGTAGATATTGCCTAAGATTACTCTGAGCCCTGAAGAGTTATTTTTTTCCTCCCCCTGCTATATTGGCAAGTTTTCCCTTCCCATTCACCTCATTTTGCTTTCCTCTCCCAATCTGATATTGACAGAGTTAGAGAAAATGAAAATTTCCCTGAAGGACATTATAGCTTGCCAGGAAATAAAGCTGAAGGGAAAGACTCTGAAAAGGGGAGATGTTTCTTTTCATGTGGAGATTGTTAACATTTATAATTCTCATGTAATTTTGAACGTGATTATATTTCAATGGTTATTTATGGGAAGATATCTAAATATTATGCTGTTTTTCTTCTTACAAGAAAACAAACATTTCTATGGAAACAGACTGTTATGATACAACAAAAATATTACAAGGATCTATATACTGTCTTCTATTATTTTATGGGTCTTAAAATATCCATTTGATGCAAGCTTCTCAAAAGTAATCAAAATGTAAAGCAATGAAGAAAAATCAAATATCTATAAAACAGATTTTAATATCACACTGACACTTCTTGATGTGTTTAGAATTAAATTCTAAGGTAAAAGTTCCAGAATTGTAAGTAAAGAATAAAAAGTCCTATCATCTTCTCAGTACATACACACACATATACAAAATGATACGGAAGGCAGATAGAAGCAAAGAAATAAAATACCAGTGGTAATGATAACATCAAGTAAAGTGAAATTCAAAGATTGAAGTCTTAACATCAGAGGCACATTTTATATTTTTTAAAAAGGGTAATCCAGTAGGAGTATAAATGATTTGTGAATCATCAGATACCTAATATGAGGGCAAAGAAAATCAACAAATTAAAACTAATAGTAAGTGCCAGATTTTGACAAATGCTAGATTTAAAAACCATAAAGATATATTAAATTACATTCCAAAGTTGAGAAGGGTGATTTAATTTCTATGCATGGGATTTTATACCTAATAAAATGCATATTTTTCTCTTGTGACCAAGAACCAGTAAGGCACCAAAATAAGTAAATGAATAAATGAATGAATAAATAGCAGCACATAACTGGCTATAAAATAAATCTTGATGGATTCCAAAAAGTGGAAAATGTAAAGACCACATTTTTGACTAAACATCAAACAGGTTAGAGCCCTGT